ACTTGTAATAAGAAGAAAACTCTCTTAATTTGAAGATTCTTTAGTCTTGGAATCTTGAGGAATGTTATGATTTTAAATTTTGTTTTTGCCTAAAAAGCCAGGTCTTTAATTGGCTCTTAAAAACACCCAGCGAGGGTGCCAGGCAAATCTCTGACAGTAAGGTGTTCCAAAGTCGAGCAGCCACTGCCGAGAAGGCCCAGTTTCTTGTTCTTTCTTTCCAGACCTCCCTCCGTGTTAGGCCCCTCAGCCGTCTTTCCTGGCTATAGCAAGTGACTTGAGTAGATCTAGGTGGGAGGAGTTCCGCTAGGTATCGAGGTCCTAAACTGTTTAGGGCTTTATATGTCATCATTAACACTTTGAAATCAATGCGGAAATGAATGGGCAACTAATGCAAGGCAGCCAGAGTGGGAGAGATATGCTGGTATTTTCTTGTCCCATTAAGAAGTCTGGCCGCCACATTCTGCACCATTTGAAGCTTCTACATCAATCTCAAAGGTAGCCCCACGTAGAGCGCATTACAGTGATCTAATCTCAAGATTACAAGTGCATGGACCAGAGTGGGGAGGGCCCCACCATTAAGATAAGGACACAGCTGGGCAATCCGCCACAGATGGAGATGGGCGGAGCGGACCACTGATGCCACCTGGGTTTCCATGGCGAGTGTCGGATCCAGATGGACCCCCAAGCTGCGAACCTCACTCTTCGCAGTGCGTTGCTCCCCCAAAAGAGAGGGAGTTTCCCAAACCACCAATGGAGGGACCACCCACCCTCAGGACCTCCATTTTGTCCGGGTTCAGCCTCAGCCCATTCTCCTGCATCCATTGCAGTATAGCCTCCAGACAGCGTTGAAGGGACAGAACGGCATCCGCTGAGGTAGGTGAAAAGGAGATGTAGAGCTGAGCGTCATCAGTGTACTGATGACACGAAGCCCCACACCCCCTGATGACTCCCACCATCTACAAAATAGTACCAGATGTGCCAGCCTCTCCATGAGGATGGGTACATGATATTTTCCATACATCTATGTCAGTATTACCACCAACCTGGACACAAAGACTGCTGCCACAGAATTTAAAGATTAATGCTAATCCATGAACGATTGCAAAACTCCTTCACCTCTCCTCAGTAACAAAGATTTACACCTCTAGAAGTAGGATAGGATAAGTAAAGCCAGGATAAATACTTTATATAGGACTTAATTGAACAATAGGTACATCCTTTCCCATTTTTTCGAATGTTTCCCAGGACACCCTTCTAACCTATGGGACGGATAGCACAACATTTTCTAATAGAAATGTTTCATCTCAAGAAACACTTAACTGCTTGGGCATCAGCCTAAGTAATCAGCTCAGAGAAGGAAGATACCAAAATGGTTCTCTTTCTTAGTTGGAAGCCAAGAGACACATTAAGAAGGTAGTTCCTATTCTGCTGTTGTTCCTTCTCTACTAGCCAACTCCCTCAATTTGCATTTCTAGAGTAGCATGAACTTTTCCCCACTACACTTTGCTAGGCCCTGCCCCATGGTAATCTTCTCTACTCCTCTCAGTACTGCAGCTAAGACTGTTCATGACCTGAGTTTGATCCCAACGGGTTCAGGTAGCTGGCCCAAGGCTTACTCAGACTTCCATCCTTCCAAGGTTGGTAAACTGAGTATCCAAGCTTGTTGGAGGGAGGGATGTAGCCTGCAAAATTAAATTGTAAACTGCCCAGATAGTGTTTTCAAAGGCCAAGTGGATTCTGAGCCCAGGCACATGTCTTTCTTTCTCAGCTGCCTGAGTTTATGAGAGTGTGTCTGAGTAGATTGGGCAGCAGAGTTGTTTAGACAAGTTGTCACCTCCAATTGCTGCAGTGTTTTCTCTCTGTCTGTCCTGCTGTTCCAACCTCTTCTCTTCAGAGGTAGACATTCCATTGCTCTTCTTTCTTCCCCAATTTCCCTTAGCTGGTCACTTCAGATGAGGTTCACTGTGGATGTCAGATGTATGTGATGCCACTTTGCTATGTTATTTTGAGTGTAATATAAAGGAACTAGTCTAAATGGAAACCCCCAATGCCTCATTAAACAGGAACAGTAATGGTGTTGGAGCTTTCTTTTACTCCACAGGAGAGGCTTCCATCTTACCTCTTCACATCACAAGGGAGTACAAAGAATCCATGGCATTCTACAATACATGATCTGTGAACAGAAGGTTCCTTCTTGAAATATAAGATTTCCATTTAATTATTTTATGGCATAATATAATATTTTGATTATAAGACACACTGAGAAGATTACAGGTTCATTTTACTTGAACCTTTGGAAGCTTCTGACTTGGAAAGAGCTGGCCCTTATTAAATTGTTTCTGGTGTACTTTTGAGGCTTCATTTTTTTCTGTTAAAGGATAAATGAGAATAAAATACTAATTATGTGATGTCTAACCATTTTTATTTATTTTACAATACACTGCAAGAGAACTAGAAAACAATTTCAGGCTCAAGACAGAGATAAGTACCGTATTTTTCTGTGTATAAAATAACACTTTTTCCTAAAATAATTGAAGGAAAACTTATTTATTATTTATTTATTTATTGGACTTATATACCGCCCCATAGCGCTACAAGCACTCTCCGGGCGGTTTACAATTTTTTTTAATTATACAGGCTACACACAGGCTACAGGCTAAAACTTGAGGGTCGTTTTATACTCGGAAGTAAGGAGGGGTGGAAGTGATCAAAGTGTTTTGATCCCTGTTTCCCCCTCCACATTTTGCAAAGGAAATGAAGGGGGAAAGTGATTTCTGCTTTCTTCCTACATTTTCGTTGCAAAAAGAAGCTTCCCCTCTCCAGATTTTGCAAAGAAAATGCAGGGGGAAATCAATTTCTGCTTTCCCCCTACATTTTTATTGCAAAAAGCAGCTTTCTGCCTCCAGGTTTTGCAAAGAAAATGCAGGGGCGATTCCTACTTTCCCCCTGCATTTTCTTTGCAAAACGTGGAGGGGGAAAGCTGCTTTTATTTGCAAAGAAATAAATTTTGTTTTAGAAAAGTGGAGGGCGTTTTATTCATGGGGCGTCTTATACACGGAAAAATGTGATAAATACATATTATTTTCTGGTAAATAGGCTCACCATTCCAAGATTCCGTTTTTGCTTAGCTACTGGTAGCACAGATCTTATTCATGTATATGAGAAGTCAGCATGGATTTTCTTCAATAAGCACCACCTTACATTTGGTTAAACTGAATCTAATTTTCCATTTTACTGTGCAATCTCCCACTTAAAAGAGGTCTTTTTGGAGCTCTCTGCAATGTTTTTATATAAATAAATTGGTGCCATCAGCAAATATGACCACATCCACTTTAGATTCAAAGAATCCTAAATCAAGAAATGTTTTAGACTGATCTCGGCAAATTCAGGAGATATCAAAATTAAAGTGTAGGTCCTCCACAGTGGACTGAATATGAATATGATTATTCCTGCAGATTCATTAAGAACTTTGATTTGGAGATATGAATAATGCATCTCCAAAAATGGATACATTTATATTCAGCCTCTACAACCAAACACAGACAGAGAGGAGGAGCTGAAGTTTTGTGACAGGCAGACTCTAGCATCTACGCACCGCGCCTTGGATTCTATTGGTATTTGTGTAAGATTTGTGTAATTTGCCACAACCAACTTACCAACTTACGAGGTACCAGGTCACATCTCAGTGGTGTGATTGAGCACAGGTCCAGGCCCAAGATACACCCTGATACCTCATCAATTAGCTACAATTAACCAGGGTTAAGCTACATAAATCTTATGTGAACACCAACAGGATTCTGCTTAGTGACTATACTCAGCAGGTTTCTCCTGTACTACAGACCTGACCCAGTGTTCAGTGCTTTTTTATAGTTTCCACTATATGGATACAGATATATATACAAACCCAGTAAGATGGCCCCCTCTCCCACAAAGACATTTAGATGCCATGAGGATAGCCCAGATCTTTAACAATTGGGCTACAGGCAAACAGGCCACAATCCAAAGCTATTTGTATGTAAATTATGCACTTTCTGGTTTTTTGAAAAGCTTCCTTCTCAACAAGAAACTTTATGTCATTATATAGAAAGCTAGCGGCTGAAAAGAGGCAACTCTTACATCAAATTAACTCAGCAATTTAACTGAAGAAGGTATATATTTAGCTTTATTCTTGGCCAGTTCATGAAATATGAAATCACTACTAAAACCAGAATAATTTATTGCCTGAACAAACTGAACATCTTCAAGTTCATTAATGGGCAAACTCTTTTAAGGTGTTTAATATCATAAATCTGCTCTCTTTTCTTTCTTCCCTTCTATCTCGCTTTCTTTTAAGAGCATGTATAGGAGAAACTTACAATGTAATTTTATATGTACATACCACAAAGTACATCCTACTGAGCTCATAACAACTTAGACTACTTTTGTGCTGTCTTAAGAGATTGCTACTCCTTTAGAGTAAATATAGGATTAAGAAAAAAAATATGATTTTCTGGATTGTGGCCATGATACAAAATACAACAATAGCATTTCATATGTTATCAGTGCTGGTGATAGACCATAAGCCAAGAAATTGCTGGCTGACACAAACTCATTAGATAGCCTTGAACAACACACTGCATCTCAGCATCAATTCCACTTTCATCTATAACATGGAGTCAACATTATTGATCTCTCCTACGAAGTTGTTACAATTTATTTTATTTTTTTACAAGGGTAGTGAAGGTATGTAAAGTCGTTTGAAAATATTATATAAATGTTAAAACAGGATAATTAAATGTGGAGTTCAACAAGGAAGCCTCAGAACAGATCATAAACTGTTTTTCTTTCTGAATACTGTATGTCAGAGCTACCTAATATTAAAACTGAGAGCTGTGAGGTATTTTTCTGCCTAAATATGAAAATGAGGAAGCCAGCAAGAATCAACATGTTGCTCAATACAACCATTCTACCACCTTAAATATTTCTAGAGAAATAGTTGTTATTCATGTTAACATTCTTACCTAGAGAGCATGCCCAGAGGTGTAACATTAAGTGATCCCATCAGCATTGCCAAGGCCATCCCTGGGGCCTCTCGTTCTATTACTTCTTTAGTAGCCTGTAATCAAAGATTAAACAGCAGACTGAGTGAAAACAACAAAAAGAAAGCAAAATGAATATGAAACTAACTAAAACAGATGGACTCTCCATCTTTTCCCTAAAAGCTACCCAGAATGAGTTTCTGCAAAAGTCACAAACTCAGGACACAGATATATTGTATGCTCACTTTACTAAAATCAGCTTCTGTGGTAGGCTATATCCATTCCATTTATATGCTAGAACTTGCTGTCAACACACAATACATCTGTTTTTGGTTATGCAAAAGTAATCATGCATAACCATTAGAACACACAGCTAAATAAAATGGTATTCGGTTCAGCAGTAATTCAGAATCACTGGTCACAAAGTAATCAAATCGTATAAAATGTGATTTGTCTAAGCCTCACCAGGAACAGCAGATTTCCCAGGGAAATCCAAGTAACAGAGATACTACATAGGAAATGGCTCATATAGCTCAAGTAAAAGCAGAGACTTCCACATATAGCTAGAAAACAATCCTATCTGAAATTCAGGGGAGCTGCTATCAGTCACAATTGACAATATTGGACTAGATAGCCACTGATCTAGTTCACGATAAAACACCTTTCTGTGGTCCTAAATTAAAACAATGGATAGAAGTACAATATATTAAAGTTACTTTCTACAAAATCACACCTCTGTATTAAATAAGGGGTTGACTGCAACATTATGGGGGAAAGGAAGGACTGAAGAAAGACAAGTGATTGTCTAAGTATATTATTTCCCCAAAGGAACTCTGAGTTCAAAGTCAAGCTAGCAATCAGGTAAAAGAAGGGCAAGTGATGATGCATGCTGTCTAGTTTCAGGAAGGCAGCAAGGAAAGCCCTTTATTCCCATATAATGGGTCTAATTTATTTTCCAGAACAAGACAGCAGTCTGCTTATTCCCCTGACCACCTGTTGGTAGGGTGAATGTAACACAATGATTTTTTTAAAAATCAAATTGATTTAAATCATGATTTAATTTTTTAAAATCATTGTAAAAAAATCCAATTTTTAAATTTAAATAGTGATTTAAATCAAATCTACTCTGTCTATTAATCAATATAATAGCTGCCTTCTGGACTAAGGAAAACTCACAATGGTTTTTGCAGCAAAGTTGTCTCTGTCCTTAGAGAGAGGGATCATGGATCTTTTTGTCCTGAGACTACAGACTGAAATATAATTCACATAGGCATATTTCCATCTGACTCTGCTGGGAGTCTAAACTACATAGCTGCCCTGCTCTCAACCTGGATAAATTTTCTGAATCTTTTCCTCACTGCTCTGTGCTCCACGTCTTGATCAACAAAACTCCTATTTTCACCTGGATGAACTACAGAAAATAATTTCAAAACTGTGTATTCCTTTGTTCCTGCACACTGGTCTTTTTTATTTAAAGGGTGTCTCGGAAAGGACCACAAATTTAAAACCAAATTTAATTTTTGGAGGCAGGAAGAAGGAAAGTATAGATTATTTAACATTTCCAGAAAACTTTCAGAGATCAATAGTGTGGTGTAAAACAGTGGTTCTTAACCTTTGTTACTCAGATGCTTTTGAACAACTCCCAGAAACCCCAGTCAGGACAGCTGGTGGTGAAGGCCTCTGGGAGTTGCAGTCCAAAACTCCTGAGCAACCCAGGGTTAAGAACCAGTGGTGTAAAAGGTTGCTATCTTACCTTAAGTACAGAACTAGCTTTTTATTAAGTTCATCTGGTTAGGAGTCTGTTTTCAAAACAAAAAACAAATCCCCCACAAAAGTCTTACTATTCACCCACCACTATCTGAAAAATGTTGTCCCAAATCCTAAACATAGAGGACATCTTTTTTTTTCCTAACAAGGCAGGACAATGACAAAGGTCACCAGCTGCAGTGCCTAATTGAGGCATATTAACGAGATACTGGTGCTATGTTGGATGTGCACCTAGTACACCTTATTTATTAATCTCAGGTGCTCCAACTTCCACAACTGTGGGGGAAAATAGTATGTTGGCATAGTGGTTGGTTGGCATAAGTGATCAGACAATGAATACATATTTCTACAACTGAACTGAGACACGAAAAACAGGATGTGATGCTAAATTCTTGTAGGTTCTGTATCTGATTTTTTTAAAAAAACAATTTCTACATGAAAAGAATAACAGTCTCTGGCAATCTCCTGTTTTGCTTTCCAAAGTATAAACAAGAGATATGAAGATAGTAAACACATGACAGTTGTGAACAGTTGTTTTGAAGAGGTGTGACATGTGTTGTTGATCCTTTCACCTGCAAGCAATGGCTATTTGCTGGCAAGTGATTTATGTAAACAATCCACCACTTGGTAGCAGCCAGCTGTTCCTAACAGACATAAAATACTGCTGTGTAGCATGATCAAGTAAGCGTAATTTAGAATATAAATAATCAGTTATTTCTCACACCAAAATCAGAAGATGAAGCAACTGCAAGAGACTCCTTGTCCACAGAGAGATATAAGGATAGCTTTTACATAGGCTTTTGAAAACTTAAACCTGGTTAAAAAAATTAATTTTTTTTTTCATTTTAAGTTTTTCAGAGCCAGTTAAAAACTTGGCTCTTTAGGCAGGCGTTCCCTCCTGTCAATACTTGACTTTATTTTTATTATAATTTTCTATTTTCCCATCTTGAGCATTACTAAGCATTATTAATCACTATTGTTTTGAATTGTTTTTAGCTGTTTTACTTTACAATGTTTAATGGAACCTGCCCAGAATAGACTTTGTCTAAAAGGGCGGGATAGAAATCTAATAAATAAATAAAATAAAAATAAATGGATGAGCTCTTTTAAAAATCTTTCTCTCTGTGTATTCTTATTATGCTTAGAAGGTAAAAATGCTTTTTATCTTACATATACTTATTTTAAGAACTTTGATATTTTTCTATGTTTATATAAGAAGGCTTTTAAGATTTCTAAAGACTTAAAATTATGATGCTTTTTATTTTAAAATTATATATTGTAAATATGTGTTGTTTACCCTTTGGGGCTATGTGTTCCTGTATTTTACAATGTAACGTAAAATTCTTTTAGGTACTTTATTGTGCATATATTTTGATCTTGTATTTTTACTTCATATACTTATAGCTTAAGTTCTATTTTCATATATTTCAGCAATTGTACCTACAACTTTGTTCAAAGCTCTAAGAATTGTTTTAAAACAACATACCTGTGACTTCTGAAGTTTCATGTTTTCAACAGCTCTTTATTTTATGAAACAGAAGCAATATAGATAAATAAATCTTGGGAAAAAATTAAGTTTTGGAGATGCCTAGAATAATTGCAACAAAGAAACTAATTATACTTAAGATACCCAGATGATTTTTGAAATGATTGTCAATTATTTTCTGGGATAATGCCAGCTATAATGAACCTAGAAAACTCTTGTCAGCTATAAATATAAAGGCTTTTGTGATTTGCCCTACAAGTCTGCCTTTAAGTTGGCGAATTGGGGAGATTATACAGAGCACCCCAAGGTGCTACCAAAGGAAGTGGTCCTTGACATTTTCAAAGCCCTCGCATAATTTTTCCTTCAATTTTTGGCAGTGGATATATTTCACTAAAAATGCACGATTTCATGAACTTGCATGATTTAGCACAACTTGATTTCTACATTTCTAGCCACTTTTTTTTGAAAGTCATGTTTATAACGTCTTCCCACAGAGATAATTTTTTCAACACATGGATTTGTACTTAATATTTCTCCTTGTGCAGATCACAGTATTCCACAAATGCTTAAAAACAGTAATTGATTTAAATGCTATACAATACAGTGGTGCCTCGCTTAACGGGTGCCCCGTTTAATGAAGAAATCGCATAGTGATGAAGATTTTGCGTTCGCAAAAGCAATCGCACTGGGATGTTTTAAATGAGGAAACATCGCTTTGCGATTATCGATACCCTGTTTTGCTTACCGATCATCGCAAAGTGATGATTTTTTAACAGCTGATCGGCGGTTCCAAAATGGCCGCCAGGTTAAAAAATGGCCGCCCGCTGTTTTCTGGGATGGATTCCTTGCTTACCGGACAGCGAAAATGGCCACCCTATGGAGGATTTTCATTTAAAGGTGAGTCTGAAGCCCATAGGAACGCATTGAAGGGGTTTCAATGCATTCCTATGGGCTTTTTAATATCGCATAGCAACGAGATCGCTTTGCAGCGATTTTTGCTGCACCAATTATCATCGCTATGCGAGGCACCACTGTATATGGCATAAGGAAAGGGAATAAGATGACAGAAATCCAACTAATAGATGAGATATGCCAGCTGCCACTGATCAACAACATTGTATTATGACCTAGTTGTCTGTTTTAGGAGGTGACTATTCCACATTAAGCAATCCCAAATACACAATCCATGAGAAGTTATCTCCATATTATAGTCCATGTACTCCAGTTTACCTCATGTCACAAATCTTACAGAAGAAATACCAACATTCTACTGAGTAAAATAAGTTCTTTAAGAGTGATGACATTGCTAGCAAATGGAAACTGTTGGCAATTAAAGAATTTCTGCTTTGATCCTGGAGTTTGCCCACAACTCTTCTGTAACCAGTCTGAATGCAGGTGAGTTGGCCAAGACATGGAATTGAAGAAGGAACTCCTTAATTACTGGCAATCTGCAGGAATCAGACAAAAAAACCCCCAAAAAAACCACAAGCCACAAAATTTGAAACCAGAGATAATGTTAGTGGAGTAGCATTGGAAAATTTGATTTCAGCTGTAACATTAATCTTTCTTATCAGACAAAACAAACAAAACAAGAGACAAAATGTGGCATCTTAAAGACTGTTATAATTTACTGTAAGCTTCCATGGATAAAATCCACTTCTTCGGACATAGGAGTATGACTAAATGACTGTCATATTTACGCACGGTTTCATGACCATGTCAATACGCAAAAAACCATTTCAGAACATTTCAGTGTACAGTACTTGGATTCTCTTTGAGTGATCTTCAAGTTGCTGTTTTAGGAGGAAAGACCCACTACAAAAT